AAAAAAAAAAAAAAAAAAATCAAACTCTGGAGTACAAAAAAAAAAGGCTAGTCAACGAAGCTCTGATGTGTGTAACAGCTTACCAAACACACACTCTGGAACATCATTGTTTTGATGTGCAAACTTGGGTACCTGTTCCCCCTAAAGAAATGCACAGGTTTTTGAGAATGGAATTGCAGAGTGCATTCGTTCCAATAGATGTATTCAGAAAAAATGCTGCTTCTGAGAAGACAAATTTATAGTAAATATCCTCTCAGGCTAAAGAGGATGGAGCAAGGAGTGTGTTGGGTAATGGCCAATTACAGGAAAGGTTTCTGTTATGTGCAGATGTTGGATTGTATCAGCACAGAGTCATAAGCATTAGGAAAGCCCATCCTCCAGTCTTTTCAGTCCTATTAAATGTTCTTAAAGTCTTAAAAGGTGTTGCTAGTGACTAACCACATCCATTCTTCAGTGTCATCTTAATCCGGTCAAACATCTGAGTGAGTTCATACACAAGGCTAAAGGTGCAATGAATTCACACTCCAGCACTGGTTAATTAAGAGTAGGAATAAGACAATTCTTAGAAGTCCAGTGGTTTGGAAACTGTGCGCTGGCTACTTTTTGGCAGGACCAAACAGAAGCAAGTCCATACCACCAGTGATGCGATAAGCTGTCTCTTGTCATCATCTTCTAGCAGAGCTCATAAGACCCAACAGTTTTTGCAGGGAGGCGAAAAAAGAAAAAAGTTAATAACCTGTTTTTATGTGTGTTTTGAACTGGGGCTATCCATCTGGAACAAATGCATGGCTCTGCAAGGTTTGATTTGGAGCAGAAGTCCTCTCCTCCAAGCAGTTGCCAGTCAAGCCTGCTTTCACTGCTGCATACAGATTTCTCGTCAAAGAAATTCAGCAGAGCTATTCCCAGACAAAAGAAGTCTTGTAGGAAAAAGCCATTCTTCTACCCCAATGTCAGATTTCCGAGTGAAATGCGGCTCCTTCAAAAGCAGTTGTCAGGGAGACACTCCTTCCCTTGTGTTGCTGAGTCTTTGTTGTGTTGAAGTTAATAGCTTCTTTGCTCAGAAACCCAAATGCCATATCAGAGCCAGACAACTCTTCCCCTCTTTACAACTGTTTGGGTGAGGAAGAAAGGAAATCTGTGGCATTTCTTTTTAATTCAAAATATCCTGAGACTTGCTGGTTTCTGCCAGAGCTAGATATTAAGTATTTGCTTAAGTATTTTTTTTCTTGCATTTTTAAAAGCATGGCTATCAACAAAGAGATCAACACTTTGGAGGATTGTCATGACCTTAAGTTTACTGCATCACTCAGGTATCCGCAAAGGCTCCACTGCAGATTCCTGATGATTCACCAAAGAAGGAAAGCAACATTGCCTAACCTGGAATAAACCCTACTTCGAGCTCACTGCAAGGTCTCTGCAGCTGTCGTACAATCCTTTTAAAAAGATCTCTGTCTTGGTACTGGAGAAATTCCACAATTTTCTGTATATGGAAGATTGGAATGGGTTATGAGTGAAGCTGCTTCTGACAACCTTGTCAGTGGTCTGAACCATGTCTGTGTACAGTAGAAAAAAGTAGTTCATTCAATCCAGGGAAACTTCTTTTAGAAAGAGAAAATATCCCTGCTCTTAGTTTTCTTCAAAGCATTTTTCAGCAGAGGTACTAGCCACAGCTATGATAGACTGAAGGGCACATGCTGCTGCAGGAGTTGTACTCTCGGGTTTATAGTTCAGTGTCACTTGCTCTGAAGCCCTTGCTCTCATTTTCCAATTTACTTTTATCAAAGAGGAGATTTAAAGCTTGTCTTGTTTTGAGCTATAAATTCCAACTCTCTAGGCTGCTCTTGAGTTAATATGGCTCTCTGAATATGACAACTTAGGATTCTGCTTCATTCCAGAAATGATCATTACAGGCTGTTTACACAGACGCTTCCAGCCCTGTGACAACTTACACAAAGCTGCCCAGTCTTCTGCATATTTGAGTCAAAAAAGAAGGTGCTTATTATCCAGTCTGTAGCACTAGCTCAGCTTCAAACCCTTATTTTAAAGGCAGGAAGATGAGATCTGCCATTCCATAACCATGTTCCATCTGTACCAAGACAGAAGTCAAACTAGAAGCAGCTGACACACAGGACAGAATTAGCTACCTCTTAAAAGCATCCAGGTATGCAGCAGGGAGGGGAATCTGGGACTTGAGTTTGTTTAATTTCAATATAATTAATTTCCTAGTATGAGGGAAGAGCCAAACAAGAAAACAGCTGTAGGGAAATAATACCCACGCAAAACAGGTAACAATGACTGCTTCTTGAATGACTTACTAAGACTCGTGCAGAAATTTCCTCATCTTCACAGTGAGATCCTGTTATCAAACAGGATGACATCACTACTTATAGTGGCTAGAAGGAAATCAGATATTGTTTTTATATAAGGCTTCGCTCCTTCATATCAACCAGTACAGCCCCACAAATCCATGTGTCAAGTAGCAGGAGCCACAAGCTCACACGTGCATGCCCCAAAATTGTTTCATCAGAACACTTTAATGTGGGCATGAGGTGCAAATTCTAGGGACCCTAGAAGTAATTACTCTTTCAGTCAGTCAAATAACATACCCAGAACTGTTTGGTTAGAAAAATTCACATTTTAACAGACTCCTAGGTACAAAGCAGTCAACACACAAACTTTGACCAATCACAACAGCAAAGGACAGGGTTTGTTTTTTTCTTTCTTTCTTTCTTTTTTTTTTCTGGGGGGGGGGCAGGGCTTGGAAAAATACAGCACACTAATGAAACAAAGTGCAAAAAATACAAAAAAAATAGAAAATAGAAAAAATGTATTTACAAGTGGTACATTACTATGATCAGAAAGCACAAAGACAATTGCTGCTATAATACATGCACTGGGTCAAGAAAACTATTAAAAACCTGCAAGTGAGATGTTTGTATTAGAGAGATACAGAGAGAGAAGAAAAGAAAAAAGAAAGAAAGGGGTAAAGAAAGGGGCTTAAACATTTTTCTTCCTTAGTTTGCTACATTGATCAAAATCAAATAACCTCCTAGAGTCCATGAGTACAATTGGTACAAATACTACACTGTTTTTTAACTGCAGGTTCAGTTGTAGAAGGGAGAAAACAGTTGCTTATTGTAGGTTCATATACAAGAAAGCCATATTAAACTGCTCTACATGCTAAAAATTACAGCAAGCCCCTGTCTGCTACATAGCATGATCTTAGCAGGTTTTTCCTTTTTATTTATTCATATATATATATATCTATATGCGTGTATATATATATGTATAAAAATCGTGCCCTTGTTCACTGCAACATGACATCTGGGTGGAAATGTAACTTGTTACAACAAATTCTTATATGTATACTGCAAGAAGTCACTCAATGTCTGTGGATTTAATAAGTCACCTCACACCACAGGAAATATTTAATAAATCAAAAAACCCAAAAAACAAAACAAAAAACCCATATAGTGACAGAAGAGCTTCTGTCTCAGTTCTCTTCAAAACTGAAGTCCAACAGGAAACTGGTCCCAACGTACATGAGGGTTCTCTGAAGAAGCTTCAGTTTGCTTAACTATTTTTTCCTTTTAGTGTTCTCGAGTTTCTGAACAACTTCAGATCGTTTTTAGTTTAAAAGTTTGTCTCCTCTCTTGCAAAGGTCACAGTCTGGTACTGATCTGTAAGAGGGGAAGGAGCAAAGGGAGGTGGCTGCAGTCACACAAAGGGTCCCATCTGCAGGGATAAGAGGAATCAAACGGAGCTCCAAAACCTTTGCTTTTTTGTTTTTTCCTTTTTTAATATAAAGTCCATTCATACAAGTTCCATAAACTGGCACCTTTCCCAGCACCAGTCCAGCTTTAGGTGACAATAAATGCTCAAGTTGAGAAAAGGACAAAGGCAGAAGTTCCAGTCACTTCCTATCTGCTGCATCATACTTCCAGGAAACGGGAGCTGCTGGACTTGGAGTGGAAGGGTTCAGACCACATGCGACGAAGATCGCCCTTTGGAACGGGAGGCAAGAAAGCAAACTCATTCAGAAATTATCAAACAACCCAGGATCTTCAGTGACTTTAAGCCCTGTGTGTTTAGGTGTTTTGTCTTAAGGCAAATCTGCTCTCACCTTTTAGGAGAGACTGTACTTCTGATACAGTAAGAATGAAAATCATTTCCAGGTTGGGTAAAGACTTGTTTATCTGGGGGCCTGTTCTACCTGAAAGGCATTTCTGATCAGAGATACCTCAGCTGGCAGGCCCAGTGCCCAGAGCTGTAGGTCAGTATTTCAACAAGTCTCTCTGAAGCAAAGAGCTTTTAAGTTCCCAGCTGGCTGACCTGGCATGAGGTGTGCAAAAGGAATCTGCCCACCCTCCAGGTGTTAGAGATTTGCATACACACTTTCTCATGACAAGCAGGCCAAGGGAAATCACCACTATGCAGCATGTAATTTAAAACAGAATGCCCTTTACTACACTGGAATCAGATTAATGTATACTCACTGAGAGTTTAAAATACAGTTATCTTACATCCTAGACAAGAAATCAACTCTTCATTAATCAGTTCCCTAACAGCAATGTTTCATGACTATAGCAATGAGAATCCAGTTTTCCATCACTGACGTCAGAGTGAGTAAAACAGCCTATCACACCCTCAGAGAAGTGAGAAAAAGTAGAAAGAACATACTCCCATGCAGGAGGCAAAACTTGCCACAGACCATGTTAACACTAATCTCACCTTTAAATAGGCCATGGTGAGGAGTGGCAATAAGGTAAATGGTACCAAATAGAGCAGGGCGGGCTGTGCTGCCCGGTGAATGCGAGAAGCCACTGTTGCAGTTAACAGACCTGTAAGAATAAAAAGAGTGATATGTTTCCATTAGTGATGTACACAGAGTCTCATATCTACCCACACTAGGATCCCATCTTCCAGCTCTGTTAAAAGGAAAGAAGTAACTTGCTTTTCTACTAGCAGTGGGCAAGGCACTATGACTTTCCCTGGACATGAAAGAAAAGTGAAAGACTTGCTTTATTTAAATTACTTTTTAAAATGAGACACTGCTGAAACTAAACATAAGATTACTTTCTCGAGGGTTAAACTAATTACATTAATTCAAACAAACAAACGTCAGTTGAAATCTGTCAGATTGCACTGGTGTAATTTCCACTGTGACAGCTGATATCAACTGAGGTTATTCAACCTGAAATCCATAGATAGAAGCATGAAAGGTCAAATAGGAAGTTCTCACATTAGGAATTAAATCTCTCAAGCATTTGCTGGAAGAGACTGGGGAGGAAGGTGTGCATTTTTTTTTTTTCCTTCAGTCTTTTCTTCTGTCACTGAAAGCCACAGGAGTTTTAAATTATATGCATACACTGTGCCTTAGAGACAAATCTATCTAACTAGGGGAGAGGGGAAGGGGGGATGGACTGCTATGTCAGCCAAGTGAAAAATGTAGGATTTTTTTGTGGAAAGGTTCATACAAAAGTACAAACGCTGAGTTCTGAACAATCAAGCTTCTTTTCCAGCACAATGCGTCTCAAGATTTTAACATGCAATCTATAACCCCCTACAACTCTCCTCTTCAGTACTGAAGTGAATGTCCACAAAATACCAGACAAATTACCCTGACAGTATATTCCACCCTTGCATTAATATATTTGCAATGAGAAGAATGGGGTAAGGAGAGTCTCTCCACGTTGCCCCAGTCAAATTTGGATGGAAGAAGGGGAAGGACAGGAAATGTTCCCTAAAAGTCCATTCACAAATGGGTTCATATTATCTTGTAACCTAGCATAACCGGCCCATTCTTGTACACTGAGCAGTTTTTGTTTTTTCCTTACCTACAAAGTATCCAATGAGAGTGCAGTGAAAGTAGGAAACTTTCTGCATACGTCCCGAGATGTTTCCAGGCCCTGGTGTACCACACGTATCACTGTTGGCTTGTTTTTTGTAGTTGTCGTATCGCAGGACAAAGCAGAGCAGAAGACCGGGCATCACGATGTCTCCAATACCCAGCATAGAGAAGTGGCTGCCTGTGGAACTGGATAACCGTTCAGATTGGGTGCATGTCCAAGACACTGGATGACAAGCTCTAGACCCTCATTCCCTTCACTCTCTGCTCCTTTAGTCACCCCATCTTCCAGCTGGCATGACTTGTCTCTATGGCAGAGGCAAACTGCCAGCTGTTAAGACAGGTGCAGGTGATCCCATCACCACCAAAGTACTTTGAATTCTTTTTACTCTTACTTCTGATAGCAAGGATCTCTTGCTTCAAGTGCCAACTGATAGCACTTCAGCTTCTACTGCATATGAAAGCATTAATGGTATCAAGGCGGTTATGCACATCAACACTGAATTAAACACTCCCACCTGCCTTTGTCTCCCTTCATATAAATGCTTGTGCCCTTACTTATGCATGTGTTGCCCTCAGAATCTCTCAATGTCTTTCTGGATGGTGCAAACCGTACTACATGCAATAGTCCAAATGAGGCTGCACTGATTTAAAGGCATCATGACATTCATTTCATTATTTATACTCTCATTCCTTATGCATCCTAACATACCATTACATTTTTTCAAAGGTAGCTGACACTAAGCAGGAGTCTTCAATGGCCTATCTATAGTGACAAGAAAGTCACTTCATATTATATTAGGACCATGCCTAGATAAGCAATTTTTCAAGCACCTTTAATGTTTACATCCTGAAACAGCAAATTGTAGAACACAAGAGAAGAAGCTACTCAAAGTCCAGTCTTAAGTTATACACAAGAGGTGGTTAAGGAAGTAACTGTGGGTGTGCCATCAAATAATAAAGACCATAATACAGTTATGTTCAACCTTTAGGCAGCACTCTCTCCATTATACTAAATTCTAACCTGTAAGCAAGAAAAACCTTGACCTAGACAACAAGGTCCCTTCATGAGACTGTACATGCTTGAAGGTAAAACAGAGCCCTAACAAAGGAAAACATCCACAGCAAGAAAAAAAACCACATGATTAAAAAGTAAGGTTTGTGATATTGTTCCAAGCTAAACAGGTATCCCTTGAGGAAAATGGAAATCCAGCTGAAAGTTTAAATTTAAGATGAAAATTAGAGAATGAATGAAAAATCCTGAAGGGCAGTGAGTCAAATATAAACAGCAGCCTGTGAGGTTTGGTAGCTCTGCTGGATCAACAGAGGTTTAGTTAAAGGAGCAAGCACTTACAAGGGCACTGCAATGAAACTATGTGATTTCTTTCCACCAGGCTTCTCCATAAAACTTAAGGTAGCAAACGGACCTGCAAAGACCAAGATGTTAAGAAAGACTGTGCTGGAGCACACTGAGCAGTAGGGCAAGAATTCTGATGGATTCCAAGAAGCAAGTTAAGTGCATATTTAGCAGCTTTCTACTGCATCAGGAGGACCAGGGAGCAGCAAGTGAAGCTTTAAAGGAGGTAAATGCAAAGATTCTTGGAATTACAGTCCAGTAAGATTTCACTTCAGAAGATAGTAAAAATGATCATTAAAGACTGTACGAAATTAAAATGATCACAAAGGATAAACCAGCCCATCTCATGTAAAGGAAAGCTGTGCCTTTTGCATTTAGTAAAACTATTTAGGCCTCTTGATAAAAATGGATAAAACGGAGGCAGCTGATACCTGAACTCTGAAAAGATTAAATATCTCAAAAAAGTCTTTAAATAAATAAACCTAAGTCCAAACAGAGAGAAGTAGCACTGTGATGACTTGAAACTGGGTAAGGGGCAAGCTCCCCCACAAAAAACAACACAGGATAGAAACATATAGCCTACTTTCAACATGGCAAAAACAACAACAGTACTAACAGCTCCAGATTTAAATTTTAAAAATGTTAATATTTTATGCATATTGAATGACTATATATTCATTATGCTACTAAACTGGAGAATAAGTCAAAAAGTAAAAAAGCATTAACTGATGACAATTACTAAGCATCATGACTAGAAGACTAAGAACTTCAGATGGACCTTGCAAAGCTGATTTTAACGTTTGCAGAATTCAGGTTACCAAATTAAGGGGGGGGAGAGGGGGGGGGGGGTGTCATT